GAGAGAGAGTGAGAGAGAGAGAGAGCGCAAGAGGGGGGAGCGGGAGAGGGAGAAGCAGGCTCCCCGCTGAGCAGGGAGCCCGACGCGGGACTCGATCCCGGGACTCCAGGATCATGACCTGAGCCGAAGGCAGTCGCTTAACCAACTGAGCCACCCAGGCGCCCTGAGTTGATTCATTTTAGAGAGAATGTCTGCCAGATACCAAAGATGCACACTCGTACTTTGTCAGTTATCTCAGGGCAAAATGATGTTCCAGGAAGAATCAGTGCAACTTGCAGCTCAGCGCACAAATCGTTTTCCTCGAGACGGCTGCAGAATTTGCTTCTGTGGCCCCCTCCCACCCGCCACAGGGGATTGGCAGATGTACACCCCGGGCTTGAGATCGACACAGCATCAGTGCTTTGTACGGCGTCATCGAGGGCATCGTTAGGGAAAATGTATTTCTTCCCTCCTGAGTGTGTGGTGGTGAAGAATCCAGGGCCGTTGGGAATGTGAAATACTCCAGATACCAGGCTCCCGCCGTCTGGCAGTCCTCCGGAACGTGCGGGAGACGGAGGTGCCGAGGCCGGTCTGGGATGGGCAGGCTGAGCGGGCCGCTGGCTCCCGTGGGGCGGGCCACCCTGGCGCGGGGCTGTGGTCGGGGGGACACACTGCCCCTCTCACTCCCAGCGTGCATCTCTCCTCCCCTCTGTAGTGAACAGCAGAACAAGCAACATTAGAGCGAACTTTGAAAACCTGGCAAAGGAGAAGGAGCAGGAGGACAGGCGGAAGGCGGAAGCCGAGAAGGCCCAGAGGCTGGCGAAGGAGAGACAGGAACAGGAGGAGGCCCGGAGGCAGCTGCATGTGAGTGTGGGGCCCGTGGTCCGGAAGGTTCTCCGTGGAAAACGTTTGGAACCCTAGTTCGAGGCTTGCTCTTAGGAACTGTAACTCTTAGCCACACACATGGCGGGGCCTTTGACCGCCAGGTACTAGCCAGTCAGCTGTGCTGCTCCCGTGCCCACCCGCCTCTGAAATTCTCCCTCCGCGGAGCCCCGGGCCCCACGTGTGCCTGGCGGTGTCCGTTCTGACCTGTGGCCCTCTGGAAGCCCCTTCCTCCTGGGGAGAAGGCCAAGAATACAGAGGGAACTCCCCGTGAAGGATCAGAGCCGCTTTCTGCTTTCTTTTTCGACTCGCGTCTTTCTGCACCTGCATCTGTTGTGTGCATGCGTCTTTGTCCTGCTGTCCCCCAGAGGAGGCAGGAACGGGGGCTGCGGGAGGAGAGCGGGAGCGCCTGGGCGTGTTCCTCGGCCTTCTCCCCAGGCCTGGATGTCCGTGGCTCTGGTCCCCACGTTGCCACCTGCTGAGCAGGCCGCCTGTGTCCGGGGCTCCCCGTGCTGCGGCCTCGCCTTCTCCTGTGGACCGGGGACGGAAGAACTCACTGCTGTGCTCCCGGGTAGTCGTGGAGCGGAATGAGAGATAAAGCCCATGAAGTTCTTTCGTAAACCGGAAAGCTTTGTTCCATTCCATAGACGTCTCCCCCCCAAAATCAGTAGTTAGGGCTCCGAGAACCCCCATCGAGAGGGAACGGGGGGCCGAGGAAATGAACGTGCCGTGGGCACCAGAGACATGAACTAAATGCGCCCCGAAGGTGGTTCCATCACATGCAGAATAAGAGCCAGTTTGTGTAATTACGTCTTGTTAATTCCGTGATTGCTAGAAACTTTCCAAGTAAGGAGCTCACGAGTTGGGTTTTCTTGGTTGTTTAGCACATGGATATACAGACTACAAGGCGTTTTTCCTGACATCTCGGTCTCATCAAATAATCATTGCCTTCCTCACTTTCTGCCTGCACGTCGTGACGTCTAGTCCCGTCAGCATCTGGACGGCGCAGGACGAGCGGGTGGCTTGCGGACGGCTGTCACTGTGGTTCTTTCTGGCGCCTTTGCTTTCCCTTGTCTTGCTGTCCCTTTGACCGTGTTGTCCTCCGCTTCCAGCCCCTACCCCTCGCCTCTGCTGGCCCCTGGGAGCCCTCCCCGCTCAGTCCTCACTCCAGAGTCCTCTGGGCCGTGGGGCGCTCCCGGCGGTGGGCAGGCAGGACTTCAGCACGAATGCACACGTGCTTGACTCTCGGGTCCTGCTGGCTCGCCATGAGACGTTACTCTCTGCGGCCAGCAGCTGTGAGAGGGGCCGTCCCAGACCCTCGTAGGCAGCTCAGGTGCGAGCGGCAGCCCGGGTCTCGGGCCACGCGTGCGGAGCCAGCCCGGACGGGACTCCTGCACGGGAACACGCCCAGGCCTGGGTGTTTGAGCTGGGGCCGGCTCCAGGCAGCCTGTGAACCTGACTGTCCCACTGGCGGCCTGGCAGGACGGAGGCCGGGGAAGGTTCAGGTCCTGCTTCCGCCGCATCCTGGTGCAGGCCCCTCGCGGTCCTGTCTCTTCCTCTGTGATGCCAGACTGTCCGCACGGGTTTCCTGGGGCTGCCATCCCACGCGATCCCGGACTCTGCCTCAGAGCAACACACGTGGACCCTCTCACAGCTCTGGAGGCTCCAGAGGAGACCTGTTTCCTGGCCTTTTCCAGCTTCTAGAGGCACCCACGTTCCTGGGCTCGGGGCCCCTTCCAGCCTCTGTCTCCGTGGTGATCTCTTCTGATGGGTCGCTCACATGCCTGCCTCCTTCTAGAACCATCCCTGTGGTTACGTCGGGCCCACGTGGGAAAGCTGGGATTGTCTCCCACCTCCCGTCCGTAACTGCTTCTATCCTCAGTCCCTTTGGCCCTGCGAGGTCACCGCCTCCCGGGATCTGGGGGCTGGGGTGTCCGTGTCTTTGAGATGCCATTTTTCTGTCCACTACAGCCCACGCTCTGGCCCCCAAAGATTCCTGTATGTCTTATGTGCAGTACACACCCCATTTGTAGGTCCCCAGAAATCTCAGTCCCAACAGCAGCAGCTCGGAACCTCAAGGTCCTCGTCTGGTCACCTATGCGAGGTCTGGGCCAGGTACAGGGTGGCAGCCTGCCTGCCCCCTGTGGTTTGCATGGTGACAGCAGGAGGACTGGGGGTCCCTGACGTCCTGGCTGTTGATGATGCGTGACCTTCACTTCACCTTGTCCTTAATGGTTTTGGGTGCTGAGTCTCCATGCTTCATACTCCCCACGCTCTGCTCTGGCAGTGAGCGCGGTCCCGTAAGCCTGGGTGGACCTTTTTCTGGTAGCCTTCTGACCGGCGCTTGCCTTTCAATTACAGGAGCAAGCCCGAGCCCAGAAGCCAACGCCCCCAGCCTCCCCGACTCCTCAGCCGGCTCAGGAGAGGCCACCCCCAAGCCCCGTCTACGAGGTTGGTTGTTTTCGTTCAGTGTGCAAATGAGTCTGACCCCCCGAACACATCCTTCGCAGGTCCATGCCACTGTCCATGGAGGGGTCCCCTACCCCACTCTGCTTGGTGCCCCACCCGAGGGGACGGCCTGGGGAGGAGCCCTCGTGAGTGCTGGGGACACGCGCCGCACGTCCAGCCTCTCTGTGTGTGCGGCCGCCCCCGCTGGCCTTCCTGGCCGAGCCTGCTGCCTCCCGGGCGGGTCTCCTGATGCTGCGTAGATGATTTCTAGTTCATCTCGACTGCTCTCTGCAGCACTTGACACTGACCCCACTCCCTTCTGGAAACCCATTTCCCGGCACCCAGCTGCCGTCCTTCCACATGAGCCGCCCTCCCCAGCTCTCCTTCCCTCAGTCCCTCTCGACCGTTGTGTTCCCCGGCGACTGTCCTTGGCCTGTAATCCTCATTCCCGTCATCGGTGCCTTGTGACTGCCCGCTCACGTCCCTCACACCTGTCTTCTCTCCTGGGCTCCGAGTTACTGGGCTGCCCGCCTCACCGTCCCCCGTTCCATCATGGGTCTCTGCCCGGCCTCTCAGGAGCTGCTCTGCTGCTGCCTCGGGGGCCACACCTGGCCGAGCCCTGTGTCCCGTCCCCTCTGCCCCGGCCACTGCCCTGGGTCCCCTGCCCACCTCTCTCACCGGGACATCCTCAGAGGCCTGGGTTGTGAGGAACAGAAGCTGCCTCAGCCCTGCTGACACTTGCAGGGGTGAGGCGTCTGGTAGCTCGTGAACCGGACAGCTCTGGGCAGCGAGCCTGGGTCTTGGCGTAGGCACAGTGCCACCAGGGCCCTCTGTGAGCTGTTGCCCCCTCGTGGTGGCTCTGTCCTCCTGGACTCGTAGGCATTGTGGCGTGGCCTTGGGGCTCGTAACCCAGTGGCAGGAGGGGCCTTGAGTCATCTCCCCTTGTCCTGTTCCACTGCTGGGCCGGTCACTGAGGATTCGGTCCTTGGAGAAGGCGGCGTGGCTTGCTGTCCCTAGTGGCAGGGCAGGTGGGTCCCGTGACCGGCAGCCCGGCCAGAACCACGTGATACGCCGGGGACAGCGGTGCTGATGCCAGAAGAGAGGGAGTAGGGTGCAGCCAGGCAGCCCAGGATGGGATCCCCCACACCCCCGACCTGCTCAGGATGCGCGGGGCAGCCAGCATGGTGCCCGCACACCAAGACCTGGCCTCAAACCCTCAGGGCGTCCCCTGCACATCCAGGGCAGACTTGCCCAAAGAAGGCTCTGGGCCTGTCGCTCTCTTGCGGTTCGTCCCTTGAGTGGCTCGGTGCCTGGCCTGGATGCGGAGTCCCCTCTCCGTGGCCTCCCTAGTGGCTCTCACGGGCTGCCCGAGCCATGATGGCCCTTTGCCGGCGAAAGCCAGTGCCTGACCCCGCTGGTTCTCACTGGGGCATTTCTGTGTGTCCCTTGCTCTCTGAGCCCCCGACGGTGCCTTCAGATGGTCCCTGGTCGGAAAAACGAACTAAAGCCACTTGCTTCCGTTAGAGTCAGAAGTCACGACGACTGTGAACAGCCTGGCGTTGGTTTCCTCTGGGTGTCTGCGCTTGCCCGTGGCTCGCCGGCCCCCCTTCCCTTCCGCCGGAGGATTTGGGCAGACCCGAACCCGCCGGCTGGGGGTGGGGCTGCGAAGCAGCGCACAGAAGCCCGGCAGGCCTGGCGGGTCCTTGGGCGCCCCGGGCAGCCTCGGCGGCCCGGGCCTTTACTCACAGGCCAACCTGCCCCGGGCCCCGGGGTTCAGCTGCAGGCACGACTCGGGGCGGTGCTGTTCCCCACAGGCCGCGTGGTTTCGTCACTGCAAGACTCTGGGGTGTCGGGGGCTGTGATGGTGGGGTTGCTCAGCAGGAAATGGCACGTGGTCCTCTTAACGGTGCTGCGCCACAATTAGAATCCGAGCGTTCTCAAAACGTGAGCGGACGGTGCCTCCTCACCGCGGGTCTGTGCTGCGACCCCCCTGGGACTGACAGGGAGCCCCGTGTTGGGGACCCAGCGTGGGCTACAGGAAATGTCTCCTTGACTCTCCCCTACCCCAGGACGCGGCTTCATTCAAGGCCGAGCCCGAGCCCGAGCCCGAGCCTGAGCCCAGGTACAGCATGGAGGCGGCCGACTACCAAGACGCCGGCAGCCAGCAGGGCCTGGCCTACGCCTCGGACCCCGTCTATGAGGCCACAGAGGCCCCCGGGCACTATCCAGCAGGTACAGGGGGAGGGGCGCCCCGCCAAATCCCCGTCTGTCTCTGCTCGTCTGTGAAAGTGGTGTCCGTCTCCCCGTGGCCTGACCCGCCCCACCTGGCCTGTGCTGGCGGGGTCCTCGTTTCCCCCGCTGGGAGGGCACCAGGCCCCCCTCCCCCGGGGCTCGGCGCGGCCTCCCATGGGGGTTATAGGAAGGCCGCGGCTGCTGCGGGGTGGTGGGTGGGGAGGAGTGTGAAGGGAGCGGTCTCTGCTGCTCTCCCTTCACGGTAGCAGCTTGGGCAGAGCCTGGCTCCGGGAAGACAGAGTGTCTTGAGGTCCTTCAAGGTGATTGCTATAAAATCAGAAAATTTTATACATGTTTCAGTGGGATGAACGCGCAAGTCGGTCTCTCATCTTTAAAGATGAGGTTTCCTTCCGTATATTTGGGCAGATTGAGCCTGAACCCATCCGAGAACACAGCTCAGGACAGAGCCTTGGCTTTTCCCCGAGTGCGACGGGAGGCGTTGGGCAGCGCGGGGCCCCTTCTCAGAGTACCAAATACATACAGTTTAACAGCCCGTCCTCTGAAAGTTGCCTCGGTGCCCACCCAGATCGTCACACGCCCCGGCTGGCGTCCGCGTTGGGAAGGGGTGGGTTTGCTCCGTAAACCCGGACTCCTTCCTCTTGCTGATCGGCGCCCCGGGCAGGACTGGCTGAGAAAGGTGAGGAGGCACTTTGGTTAACCCTCAGCTTTTGTCCCGGTTTATTTTTAGAGGAAAACACCTACGACGAATATGAAAATGACCTTGGGATCACGGCCGTCGCCCTGTACGACTACCAGGCTGGTGAGGGACCCACGTTCCTACCTGCTGCTTGTTCTCCGCTGATGCTGCTCTTAGGAGTTTGACTCCCAGAGCGTTATTACAATTTTTAAGAAGTAACTTGTTTTGAAGTAATCTCAAAGTTACAGAAACTCCATTTTCCCCGCCATTTCTATGCCTCCTCGGACCCTCGGTTACTCTCAGAGGTCCCAGTGTGAACTCCCCGGAACCGAGGACACTGCCCACCCCAAAGCATACTCCATCCAAGTGGGAGGGTCAGCCCTGAGACACCGTGATGAGGTCTGCTGCGGGTCCCATTTTTACCAGCTGTCCCAGCCACCTCTTGTCCCATTTGCGCCGGTTGTCTCTGATCCACCCCATGGCCTCATCCTGGGGTGACCCGCGGCCCGCCTGAGGCTGTGCCCTGAGGACTGGGCAGCCCCGGGAGAGCTTCCTGCTTTTTACTGTGACGGGCCCCTCCATCTGTCCTGCACTGCAGTGTCCCCACCACCCGTGGTCCAGTGTGTGGGCCAGCATTTCTCCTGCTGCTGCTGAGGGCTGTTGTGTGGTCCTCCCAAGATGCTGGGCGTCCTCAGGCTGCCGGCCATCGCTCCAGGCGCACCGCCAGCCCCCTCCCTGTCGGTGGTGCCTCCATCCTGCCCTAGGAAGAGCACGTGCCCCTCCCGTTTGCTTCTATCTGTTTCCACGCACTTGTCGGCACGGGTGTGGATTTTGTGAAATTGGGCATCTGTAATTTTTACACCGTGGTACATTTACCCTTGTACCTGCCGCCCCAGCTGCCACCTCGGGCTCCTTCCTAGGCTCCCCTTGGCGCCTTGTAAGCACGCTCTCCAGTGGGAGAATGGGAGAAGTCTGGCGCCGGGGGCTCGCGTGCTCGGGGCTGCTGTGTGAGGCGAAGGGCAGGGCAGCGGAAGGAAGGCCGAGCTCTGGGGGAGGGCTTGCTCTGCCGCCCGGCCGGGGGCCCAGAGCACGCCCCTTCCAGCAGACCGGGCCGGGCTCAGTGTCAGAGTGTCACCCTCCTGTCTCTCTCCCTCTCCCTTAGCGGGCGACGATGAAATCTCCTTCGACCCCGACGACATCATCACCAACATAGAGATGATCGATGACGGCTGGTGGCGCGGGCTGTGCAAGGGCAGGTATGGGCTCTTCCCGGCCAACTACGTGGAGCTGCGGCCGTAGGTGCCCGGCGGGAGGCCGCTGTACAAACCGCTTTTATACGTGATCCTTCCACTGATGCTTTTGGAAATGCTCATGCCACTGAATTCGCTAATATATTGTAATCACACACCTTAGGAGGACTCGGGTAATCGATTTTATGCATTTAAGGCATTTTCTTTGTTTCTGCCAAATTGACTGTCACGTGGAGCCACTTCGGGACCCTCGGCTGTCCTGAGTGCATGCTGTCCTCGCCCCACCGGTGGCGGTCGGGACCCCTGACACGCTGCCTGTGCTCGGACCGGCCACGCGCTGTTGGGCGGGAGTCACTGTCCCCGGCAGAGGGGGGACTGACGGGAGGCTGGGACTGAGAGCAGGGGTGCAGCGGGCGGCAGCTTTAGCTCTGGGTGGGAGCACCTTCGCGTTTCCCCAGACCCGCGCTCTCCCCCTCCCTCCCTTGTCCCTCCCCTGGCACCTGCTGCCAGGAGGGCTGCTCCTGCCGCGGCTCCTGCCCCCGAAGCAGCGTCACGCAGCGCTGGTGCACACCGCCCCCTCCGGGCGGCCCCGGACGGCCCCGGACGGCCCCCCGCTGCGGGAAGGCAGCCGCCTTCACTGTCGTACCCTGCCAGAAACATTTTTCCCGTCAAGGCACTCGTGTTCATTGTGCCAAAATACCACGTCACATGACAGTCAAATGCGATCGATTGACTTGGCTAAAGAGTGAAGCGGAGAGTGCGTTCTCCCACCCCGGACGCTCCCCGTGGACACTGCCTGGGAGCACATCGCCCTCCTGATAGCCGGGGAGGCCAGGTCAGCACTGGCAACGGTCCGGGGCAGTCTTTCCGGAAGATTCTGTCGCGGTGTCTCGGGTGTTGGGGACATGAGCGTCTACTTCCTAAAGTGCGTTTCTGCATAATCCTTGCTTTACCACAATTAGGTCGGGTTTTATATGCAATTATTGTATCTACGTTCTTGTAGCACACATCATAGGTATGATTTTTTTTAAATTAAATATTCAAAATAAACTTTTTTGATCCACTTGCTTGCTGATGTTCCTCTGGTATTGGTCACTTTGTTCCACCTAGAAGTTGGCTTCCTGACCCTTGACCTTTAATTTATCAGCTTTAGAGAAACTAAAGTTTCCCTTTTTAAGAAGCATGCTCCTTAAAGAGCACTTTTTATGAGGGGAAATGTGTTTACACTCTGATATTATTTAGACAGGAATTCCAAGCAAAATAGAAAACCCCATCTATTTAAAAATCATTAGGAATTAACAGTTCTCACAGTAAATCCCGAGGTGGTTATAGTGGGGCTGAAGGCACTGTTCTCCTTTGGGGGTGCAGTACCTTGAGGTTCGAAGCAGCCGCTGAACATGGGGCGTGTGGAGGCTGGCGTGGGTGTCGGGACGGACAGACTCCGTGAGCAGGTCTGGACCGCCCAGCTCGGTGGTCGTCCACTCACGGTCACGGGGGTTCTACGTTGGAGTCCCCCAGCATGGCGGTGGAGGGGCCGTGTGCACAGACCAGGCTCCCCAGGTGCCGTGGGGGTAGGCGGGCCTCTCCTTGTGGACGTCTGTGTGGCAGGACGGCGTGGAGACTTCTGGACGTGCCGCCCTCACCGTCCCTGGAAGAAGCGGAGGACAGCGCAGATCCCGGACAGTCCAGAGTCGGTGCCGTCCTCCATTTGTGGGAGCTGGGGGTCACTCACCGCCGCCACAGGTCTGCTGGGACCCCCTCGTCTTTTGGAGTATGAGGCACTTTGAAGGTACCTTCTGAGGATAGTGGAACAGAAAGGCAGAAAGGGCCTGGGTCTCTGACAACATCAGGGAGCTGCCCCACTAGTCTTGCATGCTTCAGTTCCTTTTTTTTTTTTTAATGAGGCAGAGACAAACTTTTATTCTATCTAAGCCATAATTATTTCCAGTATCTGCTACAAGTGCAAACAGTTTCCAACTGATTCGCTAGGTCAATGAGTATGAAATATCCCTCTTGAAAGTTTGCACACGAGAGCATGTTTCTTCTAACTTTCACCAAACTCAAGTATTATAAAAATTTCAGGTCTCTGACCATCTTCTAAATGAAAATGCATATTCTTGTTGCTTGTGTTTCATTTTACTTCCAGGGAATGGCCCCCTTTCTTTCCTTCCCTCTCCTTTTATCATCTGCTTGCTTCCTTTCTTACACACGCACAAGCGACTCATGACAGACTCATGGTGACCATTCAAAAAAGGACTTTCAATTCTGGAAATACCTGGAACTGGACATTATGATAACCTTCTTGCCATAAAATGCCAAAAACATTAGATAAATGGTAACCAACATCTTTTAAATGTAGAGCTGAGGTGGTAGGAAGGTTAAGAATATCCTCAGGAGCCAAACAGAAAGCTCGGCCTCCAGTCCTGATGAGCACGAGGTCATCAGTGTGCGGCAGGTGGAGGAGCCTGGAGTGGAGGGGTTTGCCTGCACACGGGCGGGAGGCATGGCTTGAGGCCCAGCGGGGTACACCGCTGGGACAGAGGACCCCAACAAAGCTGGGGCCCTTAGCGGGACATTGCCTCAAGGAAAGGGTAGCAGGGTAAGCCTGTGCCCGTCGGCAGCACCGGAGATCCCAGTAACTTGTCTGTCTAGCCTGCAGGTCCGGGTAGGGAAAAAGAGGTGGTGTGATGTTTGGTCAAGGTTTTTGTTCAAAGGAGATGAACTGAAACTGATGAAGTGGAAAAGGCAAGCTTGGCAGAACCCCTGAGTGGCACAGAAAGAATGGAGGAGGACGTTAGGGCAGACGTTTTCCCAAACTAGCTGCTGGGGGTGACCTTAACTCAGGACAGCTTGGTTGCCCTCTCACTGAGCAAATAGCGATTTCCTACTATATCCCTGCCTCTTTGCTTAAGAATTGGGGATGCAGAGGGCTCCTGGGTGGCTCAGTCGGTTAAGTGTCTGCCTTCGGCTCGGGTCATGATCCCGGGGTCCTGGGATCGAGCCCTGCATCAGGCTCCCTGCTCAGCGGGGAGCCTGCTTCTCCCTCTGCCCCTTTCCCCCAACTCATGCTCGGTCGCTCTCTCTCAAATGAATGAATAAATAAATAATCTTAAAAAAAAAAAAAAAAAGAATTGGGGATGCAGAGATAAAGAGTCTCTGGACAGGGGAGGCATGGAGCGACTGCTGGTGGCTCTGAGGTTTCCTTTTGGGGTCATGATGTTCTGGCATTAGACATAGGAGGTGGTCACACAACATCCTGAATGCACGAAATGTCATCGAGTTGTACACTAAAATGGTAAATGGTTTAAAGAAAAGGAGAGAGACGGTCTCAATCCTGTAGTTTGTAGGTATAGGGACAGACAGAAAATCTTGATACCATATGAAAGGCAGGGGTGCCATGGGCATCAGAGGAGGGCAGCTGGGCAGAGTCAGGGACAGATTCTGGGAGGAGGTCAGACTTGAGCTGGGTCTTGGGTTGGGGGGGAAGCAGGGTGGTCTGAGCAGGAGGACTGTGCGAGCAGGGCCTTGATATTGCTGAACTCTCAGGCACAGGTGGGTATGGAGAAACACCAGAGCTAGCGATCAGGTCATAAAGGGCTTTATCAGCCAGTTACGGGGATTGGGCTTTATTCTGAGTGCACACAGGAGTTATTGAAGACTTTCAAGCCCTGAAGTGATCCCATCTGTATTCTGGAAGGATCAGTTAGGCATCTGAGATGTCAGCGTGATACTTAACTTCTTAGCACCAAAGTCCTTAAAGATGAATGTCATAAATAAAACTAAAGTGTTAGAATTTAACCCTTAGTATTTCAAGGGTTATTATTAGCTTTTGCCCTGTGTACTTGCGAAGGGAAAAAGTAAAAAAGCCTCATTTCATTTACTGAAAGCAAAGAAAACACAGTATTACTTGGAATTGATCCTGGGTTCTCTACTCTGTTCTGTTAACCTATTTATCTTTCCACCAATGCCACACAGTCTTGGTTACTGTGGCTCTACAGTGAGCCTTGAAATTGGGTGGACTGATTTCTCTCACTTTATTCTTCTTTTCAAAATTGTCTTAGCTATTATAGGTCTTTGCTTTTCCATATACATTTAGAATAATCTTGTTTATATCTATGAAAAATCTTGCTGGGATTTTTTTTTTTTAAAGATTTTATTTATTTGACAGAGAGAGACACAGCGAGAGACGGAACACAAGCAGGGGGGAGGGAGAGGGAAAAGCAGGCTTCCCGCCGAGCAGGGAGCCCGATGCGGGGCTCGATCCCAGGACCCCGAGATCATGACCTGAGCCGAAGGCAGATGCTTAACGACTGAGCCACCCAGGCGCCCCTTTCTGGGATTTTGATAGGAATTACACTACAATTACTGTATTGTCTTCACCATGTAGAGAGCCTTCAATATAGAAATATGGTATTTCCCTCCATTTAATTACATCTTCTTTCGTTTATTGCGTCAGCATTTTGTAGTTTTTAGTATCTAAGTCTTATATGTATTTTATCAGATCTACATCTAAGTATTTCATTTATTTTTGGCAGTTATGAACTCTATTTCTGTTTTCAGTGTTCACACATCCATTGCTTTTCTGTAGAAGAAATACAATTGATTTTCTTACGTTTATCTTATATCTTGTAATCTTGCTGTGCTTCCTTATAAATTCTAGAAAGTTTTTGTTGTTGTTGTAGATGCCTTGGGATTTTCTACGCAGACAGTCACATCACCTGCAAAATGAGACCGTTTTATCTCTTCCTTTCCAATCTATATGCCTTTTCTTGCCATATTGCCTTGGCTAGAATGTCTAGCACTATGTCGGGAGTGCTGACAGCAGACGTCCTTGTTCCCAGTCTTTGGAGGAAAGCGCTCAAGCTTTCCCCATTAAGTGGAGTGTTACCTGTAGGTTTCTGGTAGATGCTCTATTTACCCCTTTGTAACAGTATTGACTAGATGTGTCTTCCGGTCCTACCTTCATCCATAAACCGCAATGACGCTGTCACAGCTGGCCTCCAGGACGACCCCAGTGCTCCTGGGATCGTGCCCCAGGGCAGCCCCTCCCCATAGAAGAGGGCAACCTGCGTAATGATAGGATGCTGGGAAAATGGCGGGGTGTCACCTCTAAATGTGAGTCATCGGAGACACTGCAGTTTCGGCCTTGCTCTCTTAGATCAGGGGCTCTCAGAGAAACCGGCCCTCCGTCATGAGGAAGCTCAGACAGCCCTCAAGGAGCTGAGGCCTCCTGCCAACAGCCATGTGAGTGTGTCACCTTGGAAACAAACCCTCTGTCCCCAGAAAGTCTCGGTCAACGTGTCAGCCGACGCCTCACGAGAGGGGCTGAACCACAACCACCTCGCTAAGCGGCTCCCAAATTCCTGGCCTACACAAACAGTATGAGATAATCAATGTTTACTGCTGCTTTAGGCCACTCAATTTTGGGGTAACTTATAAGGCAGCAACGTGTAACTAGGGAGATGTTTGAGTTTCTTATTTGAATCCGGCAAAGAATGGGCATGGGCTCCTTCATAGAAAACGATGCTCTGCTCACGGGCATACCCTGGTACCCTTTGTGAGGGGGCGGCTGTCAGGCCCTGCAAGGACTTATGAAAATGTATAGAACGCCCTTCACCCCCCCAGTTCTACGTCTAAGGATTTATCCTGGTTGTACGTGCACCTGTGCATAAGGGAGACGCCCCCCCATGCCCGTCTGCAGGGCCCGTGAGAGTGTGGAACATCTGTGCCGAGGGGCTGGGCAGCCGAGAAAGGGCAGCCCCCCCGGGGAACCAACACCAAGATGCGTGGGAGCTGACACAGGCGAGTGGTCCTGGGGGCAGCGGTTTGGTGATTTCTGGGAGCTCGGAGATGCCGAGATCCAGTTCCCAGGGAGCACACGAGAGACGCTCTCACACACGCGGACTTGGGTATATTCACAGCAGCACCGCTTGGTTTGGTTTGTTTTTTATTATTTTTAAAAAATATTTATTTGGGGAGGGGGAGGCGCAGAAGGAGAGGGAGAGGGAGTCTTTGAAGCAGACTCCCTGCTGAGTGTGGAGCCCCACACAGGGCTCGACCTCACCACCCCGAGAT